CTCCACATGTTGAAAAATGGAGGAGAAGGGGGAGAAAGGGAGGGGGCAGGGAGTGTTTGTCCTGCACTTGGGGAAAGTCCCATTGGATGGAGTGAGTGAGTTGTAAGGATACGCAGAACATCCCACCACCACCACCACCACCACCACCACCACCATCACCACCACCACCACCCAAAACGAGAGATTTACCTCTGGAAATCTCGTCGCTGTTTATTTGAATTACGGGGGCTGAGACGAGAGGAGGAGGACTAATGAAGTCCAGGTTGCCCGGCATGTGCAAACCATCATTGTGAGTTTGCAGAGAGCACCACCAGGCTAGCAGGATTATTGTGAACCCCCCCCCACGCTCACTCTCCTCCTCCCCCCATCCTGTTTGTATTCATACGACTATTTCTTCTTCTGTAGCTTGTATTGATTGTGGAAAAAGAAGAAGAAAAAAAAACCCAGCTCAGCACCAGGTCTTCAGCTTCATCAGTCATCTTAAAACTGAATTTGTTGAACATAAGGAAGCACTCCTAGCTGCTCCTCTCCTCGACACGGCAACGTCCCAGCAGATAATCTGTAATTTGGTTAACGTGGTTCTATGCTGGCTCTTCTTCCTGAAACAACACCAGGATTTTATACAGACCTGGAAGTGTCTGTAGAGGACGAGGACGACGGCTTTTCTAGGGACAAGTGTAACATACAGTAGAACTGTTGTTAATATTACTGTAGAAATAATAATAATAAAAAAACAGCATTCTGACATTTTAAAAGTTTTTCAAAATACTCATATATACATATATACATATATAATATACAGTACATCACCATATATGTATATAATATATGACCATATATGTAAATATACGTGTATGTATATATTTATATATAACATATAATATATTTACATATATATGGTCAATATTTACATATATATTTTAACTTGATCTGGGAATTACAATTTTTATAACATATAATATATTTACATATATATTTTAACTTAATCTGGGAATTACAATTTTGGCATTGTTTTGTTTTTTTCCGGCTGTTGGGGGTTATTAACTCCACCAAACAGAAATCCCACAAAAAATATGTAATGAAATATAATAATCTTGTAGTTTAAATCACCACGTGACTAAAATCCTGTTTAGTTGAAGACAACGATGATATACTGGCAGGAATTGAAGAAAGACATTCACAAAGAATCTTCTTCAACAGCTCTGATTATCTTCCACCTCTATCTGCCACCTAGCAGGAGAGGATTTAATCGTTCTGCCTTTCATGCTTTGATGAGCAAAGAAAAATGATATGCAATAAATAAATCATAGTTTTCTGCTAATTTTCATAAAGTATATTAACATTGTTTTTTGAATTACTTTACTTTGGTTAGTAATTGGTGAAAAGTCAACTCAACTAGGCCACTGCTGACATTCTGTCTCTCACAGATGACTATACAGGGATGTGTATCTGGGTCAGCAGGTCAGGTCACATATTTCTGACCCTGAAATCAAACCCCCGACATTCTGGTTCTACCCGCTGACGCCCAGTCAGTCCAACTATTTCAAACATTTTTCCAAAAAAATCTGTTTTATATTTTTATAAATATAAACTTTTATTGTAGTACATAGATTTAGAAAAATACATTCACATAATTTCAGATTACAAACATATCATTCCAACTAAGATAAAAAACAAACAAACAAAAAAAGAGAAAGAAAACAAAATGACCATCAGTTGTTTGTTGTTTTTTTCTTCTCCATTTTTGGTATGTTCAAATAAAGCACTGAGGATACAGGTTCCACTGAAGTGTCCGTTCAAATTAATGGGATCATGTCATAAAATGAAAACCATATCAGTGAAAACACGTGACACGTGTGACTGCATCACGTGACTTGGCTACGTTGTTGAAATGTGCTGTTATGGTCATGTGGAATATGGGCCAATGGGCTCCCCCCCCCCCCCCCCCCCCTTCAGCTGACACCTGACCAGTGTGCCAGCCGTGGCAGCAGTGTTAAATCTCTGACGCTGCGTTGTCGCTGCCTGCACTCCGACCTATGACCTATGACCTACGTGCATCTGAGCTCACTTTAAGTAAGGTTCACAAAAACTTAAATCAAAAAAGGCACTAACTTCCCAAACCTTACGATGCCATGCAAGGAGAAACGACCACACTCCCTCTCTGGACTGGAGAAAAACACAGGTCTGTCTTCTAATGACCTCACTTCCTTCCCAAAGTGGGGTGGTCCGCAGGGTTGCCCCCTACGCGGGTACAAGGCAAGGCTGAGGCCCGTGGCCCGTCTGGACAGTCAGTCTGGGTTTGAGACACGCCACAGATGTTTGCATCCGAAACTTCATAGAAAAATACGTGTCACGATTACCGACATTTGGAGAGACATCAAATCTGAAACACGACATTCGACAGCGTCGATGGATATGAATACATTCTATGAGACATGAAATGACAGTGTGAATATTTTTTTTCTTCCTCATTCACGTCGGTGAAATATCGATGCCTCGATGAGGCTTGAAACCGGAGAATCGCCATCGTCATCATGTACGACAGGGCGGTTGAATCGAGCACACGGTCGTGTCATCATGGTAGTGCAAATGCCAAAACAAACCGATGCCGCAGTTTATTTGAAGAAAGGCACATTCATCTTCGACCCGGACCCTCGCTCCCACCTGTTTATTTGGTGTGTTGTTTTTTTTTTTACTGACTTGAGAGGTGAACTGAGTTTAAGGTGCTCACTGAAGGACACTTTTTTACCCCAGAAATCAGCAGCTTTCTGTGTTTTAAAGCCTTTATTCCTGTGTGTGTGTGTGTCTGTAGTAAAGCTGTCGCTGATAAACGGATGATTTTTACTGACTCTCTCTCACCCCTCACCCTCCTCTCACCCCCCGTCGGATGACCTTTTTGGTTCGAGCCAGATGACGCATTTAGTTTGGAGGAACATCCTGGTCACATGACCCGCAGCATACCAGCACCTGCTTCCACAGATCATATCCACTCAACAGGAAGTAGCAGGTGCTGCCTATAAAAATGAACATTTGAACATGGCTCAGTCACTCAGAGTGACTTCTTGTGTTCGGAGAAAAGCAGTCCTCGTGTTCGTTCTTCTTGCTAACAAGGCCTTTCACACAGGTTTTTTTTTTATTATTTCTATCATAAACTGATCATGCCCCCTGCAGGGCTCCTCTCAGCTCAGACTAGAGTGCATTTTAACAGTCACAAAAAAAAACACAAATAATTTAACATTTAAGAGGAAATTAATAGAAAAAAACAACAACAACACACGCTCACACGAAGGTAAAAAGATTCACCGTACGTCTACTGCCTCAGAGGACACGAGTGCTTCTGGAACCGAGTGAAGGTTAAAGGTCTGCCATGTCCTCGTCCATCTGTACTGTCTGTAGTTTGGCTAGTTCCTTCCCCTCTACCGCCTCCATCTCGCCACACATCGCCCGCACCATCTCGTTCATGCCCCCTGAGACCGAGACGTCCACCTTGTTGTTCTCCGAAAGGTTCATGTAGTTGCTGTTCATGCCCGAACCCATCAAATGTGAAGACGGAGGTCCTCCGATGTACTCGGTGGGCTGGAGGTGGTGGCTTCTGGTGTCTGTTTGGGCTATCAGGGGTGTGCTAATGGTCAAGGTGGTGTAGACCTCCGGCTCTGGGCTGGATGATGAAACGGCGGGGACCTCCGCAGCCGAGGTGGGTACTCGGCCGGAGGCCGCGTCTTCCGAGTTAGGGTTTGCGTAGCTGATCTGACCGTTTGGGTCCATGTGAAGGCCGTGGTGGTGGTAGGAGGAGTAGACGCCTCCCTCCAGAGGCTCCTTCTTGATGGAGGCCGGGTTGGTGTTGCTCATGCTGTAGAGGACGGTGCTGTGGTGCAGGGACGTCATGGTCAACTTATCCTGCTGCTGGAAGGAGTCGTTGCTGGAGGAGCTGACCGCGACATTGTCCAGAGCTATGTTACCTAGATGTAGACACGGAGACACGAGCAGAAATTAGAATAAAAAATAAAAAAAGCAGATTTTCTGAATCTCAGTCTTTATAGTATGGTGTGTTTTTGTTGGAGCGGGGCCTGTTGTGTGTCTCACACACTTTGTCCTCCGTGAGCTTGACCCCGTGGAGGCCCAGAGAACACATGCACATGGCTGCAGTTTGCTGTTTGTCCTTACTTTTTCATCCTGCTGTACATCCTCTGCTTTCTGTCAACCTAAGTGCTGTAATGGCTTAGTCCCTGTTCAAGCGTTTCATGGCCTCTGATTGTCTGAAACCTATTTTCCCACCTCCCTGCTCTGCACATCCAGAGTGCAATGATGATGAGTGATGGTGACTTCAGAATTTGTTTTTATTCATCTCGGGGGCTTTCAGAAGACCACCTCTCACATCCATGTGTATGTGCTGTGTGCATGTGTGGGGCCCTTCCCTGTTCTTCTGGTCTGTGTTATGTGTAGTAACAGGCCTTTGGGCTGCAGCCCGAGCCAAGACAAGCCAAGAATAAAGCAGCCTCGATAAAAAAGATGGATGGAGCAGAAATCTGTAGACAAATCAGGCAGTGATGAATTTAAAAACTACGCTCAAATCTTTTTTTTTTTTTTAATATTCTATCAAACCCTAAGGGATGAAAGGAAATGTATATTTGAGACTCCTGGAGTTCCTGGACTCTCAAGGATCAGACTGACCCACATTTTTATGACAGATTACCTACGTATTTGATTTCCACTAATGCATGTGCATCACTGTTATTATTAGACCATACCTTCCAGTCCTTATTAAGAATTAAAGTATGATTAGTCATTATGGACTGGGTCAACTGAACTGACTAAATGTCTGATGTTTTTGTTGCTCCAGGAAACAGGATGAGGAAGTTGGTCACAGTTTTCATTCACTTCACTTTTCTCATTTTCAGACTGTCACAGGACGCATAAAGACTGTGTAAATATCACCGTGATATTTCTCGTTACTTGTACTTTCTGTGGCAATCGATTGGTTTGTTTCTGGGAGGAAATATTTACCAGTAGAAAACAGAGTCGGTGCAACTAAAAGGATGCAGAGATGCCATTAAAACCTAAAACAGAAGAAGGGAGATTGGACAGGTGGCCACTTAGTTCAACCAAGGCTTGGAGGAGACGGACAAAACACAAGTAAGAAATCACCAAATCATTTTGAACAAAAATGCAATGTGGACTTTGAGAGATCTTTTGGAGGTGTACAGCTCCACAAAAAAAGCACTGCTCTGTACTATATTTAACAGGCAAGCAGATTTTAATTATTGCAACCTACAAGTGACTGACTACTGACTCAAACCTAGCTAAACCTATATATATATATACATATATGGATATATATGTATAAGTATATAAATACATACATCTATGTATATGTATAGGTATATATATACACATATATTTATATATATAGCTATATATGTACATACTGTATATGTATAGGTATATATTTATACACATATATGTATGTATGTATATGTATATATATATTCTAGTCTAATTTGTTTATTTATTGATATACAGTCTGACAATGAACCTCCTTGTCTCCTACCATCTGCATGAGCTGTGTGAGCTAAATGCTAACGCTACAACAACACAGTCTGTGCCTATAGGCAGTCAGACGTATTTTTCTGAACCCACCTTGTGATTGGATTGTTGAGGCAGATGAACCAGATGAGAGCTGCAATGTAGGGAGCCCTACGTCACTGTTGAGTAATGAACTGCCATCGCTGTCGGTCACTCCACTTGGGATGTGGACCAAATTGTAGCCGCCAAGTTGCAGGGCACCAGATGGTGAGCTGAACGTCAGCACAGAGGAGCCGTTCTGGGTCGCCATGGAGTGGTTCCCCTCCAGCTTCACCTCTGATCCGTTCACACAGCCGGAGTAGGAAGCGTAATGAAGACTCGAGTCCTCGGCAGAACTGCCCAGTCCTTTCTCCTGCCCTGTCTGCATCTGCATGTCCATCCCTGTGCCCCCCAGCATCACCCCTGCTGATGGCCTCAGAGGGTTAAAGGCCAAAGGTTGGATGCCCAAATTGAGCCCATTGAACAGGATGTTCCCAGGCGTGTGGAGGTACGACGAGCCGCCGTTGTGAAACACGGCGGAAGACGTGTTGCTCGCGACCAGACTTCCGTTGTAGAGGCCACCGCTGCTGGATCCAGGTGGCATTTTGATGTCACCGATCTGCTGGATCACCACCCCAGTGTCCATAGGCCCCGTCTGAATCCCATGGGGCATCACTCCGTCGGAGGAGTTGGAGAGGGGCCGTGGGGACAGCTCCTCCTGACCTTTACTGGACTCATCCTCCGTGCTGTGGTTTCCATCGGATTCACTGCGTGTAAAAAAAAAAAATACACAAAGACAAATAATGTGTTAGGATAACTAAATGTAACTTTTAAACTTTTTTTAAACATTTATCTCCTCTCCTCCTCCACTTCTGCCACAGTCCCTTTTATTGCTCCTGCTGCTGCTGTGTTTTTACAGGAGCAGGCGGTGTTTGTGAATGTGGAGCTCTGTCACACCTCATGCAGAGAGAGCTCCATTCACAACAACAATCAACCACCAACAACAACAACAACAACAACCACCACCACCGTGCAAACCATTTGGTGCAGTCAGTTCTGCTGGGACAAACTGTTAGAGC